TTTCGAATAGCTCTCCTCTCCACAGAGGATTCTGTGGCCTAGACAATCTTGGTTGGTGCACAAAACTGACCAAGTAAATGATACGACAAACCTAGCCTCTACTTCACATTTTCTCAAATTTTGGACTTTGGAAAAACGTCAAAACCACCACACCTCTTAAGGATGATGGCGCTAAGAGAAAGCACAATCTTTGATTTCTCCTAAAGAAGAGTTGCCTCCTTGTTAATCYGTTCATTTCACTAATGTAACATTCAGTGAATTCTTACTATGTTCTCCAATAAGGGGGAAAATCATTCTCTTTGCTTTCCTCCTGTCCTCACATTAGCTACAAAACACAGTCTTCTGTTGATCTACCCTGCCTTCTTACAGAAAGAGGATTGATTTAAGTGGTTGGTGAGACAGAGGCTTTCAGCCACATTAACCTCAGGATGCAGCCCTTGTGTTAAAGGTAAGGAAGGTGTCACCATATCCCATCTCCTCTTCAGCTGCAAGGAAGCTTGAAGCTGAYACCCTTCCATGGGTTGGTTGGGTATCTCTGTAGGCTCTTCTATATCTTAATAGGTTAAGAAATATAGAAATAGAAATAGCCTATAGAAACAGAGAAATGTGATTAATCAGGGTTCTCTCCCAARCCCTCAGTGTATTAGGAACAAAATATTCTACTAAAATGAATCAGAAGTGTGTCTTATGCTCAAAGAACTCACAGTTTTGTGGTGTTTCCACAGCAATTAATGTATATATTATATACATTATAATTTAGCCCATGAATTATAATCTTTTGTTTAGTTTCTACCCTCTTCATCCAGACTGTAAGCAGTGTTAGGAATGAAATCTTTCTCAACCATAGAACCTCAGCATCTAGCAAACTAGCAGGTAGTAGTATTATTTACAGAGAAAGCAACTCTCATGGCATGTTTACTGTGAGTGACTTCAGATCAAGGCCTTATGTTAAAGCACAATATCTAWAACTTGAATTTGAAACTGTGAGTTGATTTCTAGCACAAAACTTTCAGTTCCCACATTCTCCAGTTCAGTACCAACTTCTTTTCTATAAAATGTCATGTCTCACTTGTCATTTTTACTTTCTGGGTGAGGTGGTGAGGTCCTTCCTGTTTCWTCCTAAAATAGAACTTTCCAAATTAGTCTGTTCTACAAATGTATCTTGGGTTCCTACCTCACTTACTCAGGGTAGGGACTAAGATAAAGACTAAGTGGATTGAAAGAATTAAAGTGCATACATATTACCCAAGAATCTTGCTAAACCATAGATTCTTATTGTGTGAAGCCTGAAAAAGCACAAGTTCTACCAAACTCCCAGAGGTTCCCACGCCACTGATTTATTTGAGCAACAAGGAAGTAGATGATCTATTTCATAATAATTCATTCATTCAATACTAAAATTTCTTCAACAGTAAATTTAATTCTAAAATGTATCAGGCACTGAGCTATGAAACTAAAGAGGAATGTAACCCATAGTCTAGATAACAAACACAATAACAAACAAATGCTATGACTATCATGAGATTAAGAAGACAAACTATCGATTGGGAGGAAATATTTGCAAAAGACATTTCTGATAAAGGGTTATTATCCAAACCACATAAAGAACTCTTAAAATTCAACAAGAAAATAAATAATCYAATTTAAAAATGGAGAAAAATAATCCAAAAAAAAAAGATTTCATGCAAGCATATGCAAAGAGGATTAACATAATATGTTATTGGGAAATCACAACAAAGAGATATCACTGAACACCTATTAGGATGGCAAAATTCCAAAATACTGACAATACCGAATGCTGGCTAGAATGTGAAGCAATAGGGACTTTCATTCATTGCTGGTAGGGATGCAAAACAGTAGAGTCCCTTTGGAAGCCCGTTTGGCATTTTATTAACAAAATTGAACAGACTCTCACCAATGTGATGTAACAATCATCCTCCTTGCAAATTACCCAAATGAGTTGAAAGTGTGACCACACAAAATTAGAATGTTTACAGCAATCTCATAATTTAAAAAACTTGGGAAAAAAACAAGATGTTCCTCAGTAGGTATAGTGAAACAATTGAATATTATTCAACACTGAAGAGAAATGAGCTATTGAGCCATAGAAAGACACGGAGGAAACTTATATGCATGTTACTACATGAAAGAACTCATTTCAAAAAGGCTACATGGGATATGATTCCAGCTACATCACATTCTAGAAAAGGCAAAACTATGGATGCAATAGATAGATTACTAGTTACCAGGGGTTAGAAGGAAAGGAGGTATGAATAGATGGAGCTCAGAAATTTTTTAGGGCAGTAAAGTTATCATGCATGTCACTATAATTATGGGGATAGGCCATTATACATGTCAAAGCCCAAACAACTTCAACACCAAGAGTGAATGTTAAGGCAAACTAGAGACTTTGGTTGATAGTGATATCTCAGTATTTGTTCAGTTTTAACAAATATACCATGGCAGTGAAGCAGAGAAGGATATTAATGAGAAGGGAGTCTGTGTGTGTTGTGGGGTGGAGAAGGAGCATATGAAAAAATCCCTGTGCTTTCTGCTTAGTTTTGATGAAACTAAAACTAGTCTTTAAGTCTCAGTCAGTCTCTCTTTTTCTTTCATCCCTTCTGGACTAGACGATCTTGGTTGGTGCACAAAACAGATCAAGTAAATGACATAACCAACCTAGCCCCTACTTCACATTTTCTCAAATCGTGGACTTTGGAAAACATGTCAAAACCACCCAGGGCATATCTTAAGGATGAATATCATACAGCCATGTCTTAGACCTCCCAAATCAGAATTTCTTAGTGTCAGGAGTTGGTGATCTGTAGGTTAACAAATTCTTCAGGCTGTTTGATGTGCATGAAATTTAAGAATCACTTCCATTTTGTATCCATATATTTTTGTTACAAAAATAAACATCAAATTGATTTCAAGTACCTTTTAATAGCTTTATTTTTTTATTCGGAACAATCAACAAGCTTAGAATTCACAGGAAATCATTAAATTACATACTATGTATAAATTAATGAAATAATCATGGAACAATACTAAAATAGATTTATTACATATATCTCTCTGATATTTTTTATTAAGAATGAATAGAAGCATAAATGAATTGTGATTTTGACAAGCATGGTACAAATATAAGAATAAATCATTGATAGAGATGAAGTCACTCCCAACATTATCTTTGATTGTAAGATGTATCAAGAATATTTTAAATACAGTGATGGAAATATACTTGTTTTTAAATTGGAAGGAATTTATGAAAGAACTGTTCAACTCTATGTGTTCATCTGATAAGAAGGCAGCTGCATGCATCCTCCCATGCTTCCGGTTTCTATTTTTAAGATCACAACTAGTCGCTATTCTTTTTTACAAATGTAGCCCACAAATGTAGCTTGGTGAAAAGAACCTACCTAGAATTTGTTGCTTAAAATTCTAGATATGTAATGTTATCAAACTGGCTAAATAATGTTGACTAAAAAACCAAATCCACAGAACTAAAATTAACATGAGCATTGTATAAAAAAAGCTTCATCATAAAACCTCATGTCTGTCTTTGTGTGTGTTCTCTACTCACACTCCCACTGTCATAATTTTGTATGGATTATTTTATTTAATAACTCATTCTAGTATTCGGTGTTTCATCAGCAAACTAAAAATGGAAAGCCAATTTGATCAGTTTCTTTTGCACTATTTCCGTAAGTCACCTGCCTCTCTCTACAGTAAAACACACACATGCGCACACGCACACACCCAGACCACATTCATTTGTTCAGCAGCTCACATGTTTGTTCAAGTGGATCCTAATGTTTGCCATCCACTTTGTACCAGGACTTCTGCATTATTTAGTAGCAGCACCCAAGAACACTAATCTCAACTGTTGAATCAAGTTGCAGGCTACTGCTTAAATAATTAGACTCAAGTATTCCAGAAATTCTAAAAATCTGAAATCTGAAATCCTCCTAATTGACTGCAATCTCAGTATTTTTAACAAATGGTTGTCAAACTGTAATGCTTCAAAGCATATGATTTGCCCTGTTTCCTTCCTAAAAACAGCCAAGTTACAGATGTTAATGAAAGTATGTCGACCCCTACAGACCAACTTTTTCTAACCTTCCATTCCATTACTTGTGCCTTTTATTATTGTCAGGTCAAGAATGAGAGAGTTAAAAGTTCAGTTGGCACTTGCCTKATAATACCTGTTGTCATTGCTTTTTAGGTCTATTCAGATGCCCACGAGTATTATTAAATCAGCAGCATTATGTCACATTCACATACCTGATACCACATGACCCAAACACCAAGTCACTGTCTTGATCATAAAATACTATACATTGGTTGCTCCATAAATACCTATATATTTGCTTCACAATCAAACAGGGTAGATTTAAGCGTTTGCTTGCCAGGCATAGGGAATATCTACCCCACATCCAGTTGGTATATTWTATACCTGTATTGCACCTATTCTTTCCATTCTTTGCTTATGTCAAGTCTAAAATTTTATTTCTCCTTTATATGTAAGAAACAATAGCTTTAGATTGACAAATAAAAATTTCTAATTACAGAATATTGACTGGTAACACACAATGACTATATTTATAGTTACTCAAATTAGCACATTCTTTCCTTTTCAAGAGCGTGTAGTGAATTGATCCAGATAATACAAACCTCTCTTCTCCACAAGTCTCTCTGATAGCCTCAAAGGAAATATTGAGTTTATATATTGGGTAAAATATAGCTGAGTTTAAATGTTCTACTATTGTGCTATTGACAATATGAAACAGTTTTGGAGAGAAGATTTTGTTGTTCAAGGCTATAATATAAAATTCTCCCAAAGAAGTTATCAAGAGGAATTCTGATCATATGTTCTATGGACCCTTAAGACACAAGCACCACCATAAACCACCTTGAAGTGAAAATTCCCAAGTTGATGAATATTTGGCAAACTGTTGGGGCCAGAGGAGGTGACAGGCCCATCATTTGGCTGGTTGGTATCAGGACCGGCTTTGACTCCGCACACATACTGAAGCATATTCTGTTGGTGCTTCTTGCACTGGTCTTGCTTGTCTTAGGTTCATACCAATGATAGAATGATTCAGGGAAGCATAAACGATTCCCTGTTTGTTTTCGTCCAGGGATGGGTTAGAATAAACTTCAGAGCCTTCTCTTATCCTGAACAAGGAGTCATTATCATAAATTTCAGTTTGGGAAGGCAAAGTTTGGGAATTTTGTCTGATGCTCACTTCAGCTTGTTCACTCCTCAAGGGCTGAGAGACATCCACCTAAAAGAGAAAAAAAATGGTGGTGCACCACTGAATGATAATATGGCCTCATTAGCAAACTGTGAGCACAAGGCTAAATGGYGTCATCTACCTTGAGAGAAATAATCTACTTTTCCTCACATAGGCTGATAATGTCTACACTTTTGGCAAATTCTTGGTTCTTAAGGGATAAATTTTGAGGACTATTATGTTCCTCCCAAGTGGTTATTTCGTGCWTTATTATGGGTCACTTTTGAAATCATAGAACACTTTAAATTCCATTCAACATAARAGTTTAGCCCAAATTAATGGGAAAAACATAAACTGCCCCATGAAAACTTCAGGTATTTCATAATCCAATGGGAASTATTAATGTAGTATAGAATAAAAAGATTCATAAATAAAGCAGAATAGTGACCTCCTGATGGGGGCCAAAAGAATAAATATTATGAACTATCCAAGATAAATTATTATGATCTGAGACCTGGAGTTGGAAAATTGATGTCAGTTTTAGAGAGACAAAGTTTAGATAAAGTTCTGAAATATTATTCCAGTTGTTATTTCTATCACAAGAAAGTTCTTATACAATCAGTGCCACAAGGATCTMGCCCCATGATGTGGTGGAAAAAGTTGATAAAGACAGAAGCAGCAATCCCACTTACATACTTATGGCACATTATGGTTTATAATATGCTTTTAAAAATGCATATTGAGCTGGGCACAGTGGTGCATGCCTGTAATCCCAACAGCTTGGGAGTTCTGAAGCAGATCTCAAGTTCAAAGCTAGCCACAGCAACTTAGTAAGGCCCTAAGCAACTTGGCAAGACCCCGTTTCCAAATAAAATATAAAAAGGGCTGGGGATGTGGTTCAGTGATTCAGTGCCTTGGGGTTCAATTCCTGCTAATGCTACCTACCCCCCAAAAAATGTTAAAATGCACATATCATAGCATTCAACTTTTAAGTGTATAATCGCTTTTTTGCCAAGGACCATTTTGGAATAAATCCAGAATAAAATTCTTTCATAAGCCTTAGAGGCTTGTTGATAGGGATAAGTTGCTGCACATTGCCACAAAAACTGAAAATAAAGTAATCTTTGGTACTTTGTAAATATCCAATGGGCCTTCAAAGAGTCCAGAGTTACCGGTCTTTCCTTGGTATGGCAATGGACTTGCAAACTTTGTAACCACTCTGATTTGAGTCAATTCCCCTCATCAGGTTTGTTCAAGTTTTAACCTGCAAAGAATGCTGAACTATGTGTTCCCCCTTTTAAATTCAACTTCAAATCATAATTAACACCAGCTTATACAGGAAAAAATATGACCACATTCTAATGAGTCTGGGTTTTCCTTGCATGGTATATTATTTAGATTATTATTTTAAATAGTTTCAGGCCTGACTATGACAGAATGCTGTATTTTTCTTGTTGTTTACTTAGAAATATAGAAAATAATTTTTAAGAACCATTCCCTATTTGAGAAAATAAAGGTTTGGCACCAAAAATAGTGCCTACTAGTCCTTATTTAAAACTTAATATAAAGTTTATCAAGGTGAATGCATTTGATTCTGTATACAATTCAGCCATAAAAAAAGAATGAAAKTATCCAATTTGCAGGAAAATTGATAGAACTTGAGAACATTATGTTAAGCAAAATAAACCAAACTCATAATATCAAGGGTCATATGTTTTCTCTCACATATGGAGTCCAGGGAGGAAAAAGAAAAAGAAAGGTGAGTGGAGGGGATCTCATGAACATGGAAGCAACATCAGTAGAATAGAGGAAAGGGACCAGGGGGAGGAAGAAGGGGCAGAGGAAACTGGGAAATGATATTGACCAAATGATATTGTTATATTGTTTTATCGTGCACATGTACAAATACATAATAATGAACCCCACCATTATGTGTAATTATAATGGAATAAAAATAGGGGGAAAATACGATAAAATTTGGCAGCTTAGGTGTTAATATTACATGTAGAATTATTGGTTGTATCTGTCTCTGGCATTTCTGGAACTTTCAAGATGCTTACTACTTATTTGTCTCTAATTTTCCTTACTGAAACACACACACACACACACACACACACACACACACACACACATCAAATACCTCATTTATGCCTATTTTAATTAAGGAGCTTCATTTTTTTCCCCACAAATACATTGCTTTATCTTGCATTCTCTCTTTCGTTCCAATATCTTCACAACTTTGGATCCAAAAGAAAGACCTAAATTTATTCTCCAAATCTTCCAGGAACAATTGCTTTCAAAAAGCTCTTTCCTTTGTCTGGCTCTCTCTTTCTTTCCTTAATGAGCCCACACACCTGACCATGGACTTTGGCATAATCATTTAGCCTGGAATCATGTCTCTTTACCTACTGGTATGTTTATGAAAAAAAATCTAGTTATTATAATGCAGTTATGATTTACTGTGATAATTAACCTAGAAGTATGATTATTTATGGGTTCATTTTTTCATTAACTCTCTACTCTCTTCCAGAAAGACTTCAAGGTGTTTTTGTAAGAATGAATGAAGAGCCCAAAGCCACATAATAGACCAGAGCTGAGCCAAAGTTATGTGGGTCCGTCTCTGACTTTCCTGTTTCTATTCTGGACTGCTTCCATATCAAAGAAACACTTATTATGAGACTTGTTATTCCCAAAGAGTCTTTGATGTATTGAAAAAAAAAAAAGTGGATGGCCCTTGGTGTTATGCAAACTTATTGAAAAAAATGACATAATACAAGTCACATTTATCATAACAGATACATTAAACATACCAGGTTAATTTCCCTTCCTTCCATATCAGAAGACTTCTTTTGTTTCCCTGGAAGATAAAATTTAAAAAACAAAAAATGATTAATCAAAAGGAGGAAAGAAAGCAGAGGTAAACCACCTCCCCCCACGCCCATCCTGTTGCATACTAACAATGATGTCATATGTTTGGGCTTGTATATTTGCCTTGGCTAGCATGCTGTACAGGCCCCTGTGGATGAGAATTCACATTACCCATTTCCCTTCCAGCCCTCCTGATACCACATGGCCTATGGCATATCCAAGAGGAAGGGGCAGGATCTAGCAACTTCACTTTGAAAAGGTTGGAAGCCCTTGCTCTGAGTATATCCCATATGCAATCCCAGAAATGCTCCTGTCCTGTCACCTGCATAGCCAGTATCTCCTGTTACTCAGTTCACTTTGATGTGGCAAATCAAAAGATTTGTCCCACACCTGTCTGTAATCCCAGCTACTCGGGAGTCTGATACAGGAGGATCACAAAGTCAGTCTGGAGAACCTAGTGAGACCTTGTCTCAAATAAAATTAAACATAGTAAATTGGCTGAGGATGTATCTCCCAGTAGAGTGACACCCTGGGTTCAATCCCCAGTACTGCAAATAATAAAAATAAACTGATAAATGAATTTTWAAAATTATGCCTTCCTCTTTTTTCTGAAGTTCTGAGAGAAGTTATAGTAGCCTCAAGAAAAATGATGGAATACAGAGAGACAAGGAAAGATCTATGGAGTTGCAGATGCAAAGGTGGGATTATAGAAGATTCCTCAGAATTGTAAGAAGGTTCTGGGCTTCAGAATTCCTCACTGGAAGCACTTCAACCAGATAATTCTTTCTTTTGTGGCAATGGAATCAGGGGTGGTCTGTCTGGCTTAGTTTCTATACCTACACTATAGCTGATGTTGTAGGAAAATGATTGGGAAGACATGGAAGGAAAAGAAAAAAAAAAGAGAAAACTGAGGTGACAAGATCAGAGTTAATCAGAATTCTCAATGCATTCCTCTCTTACTGGGTTTAAGTATTTGGTGGTGACCCTGACAGAATGTTTTCAAAATAGAAAGGAATTGTTTTCAAAACACCACACCTCTCCCATTTTCACCAAACCCACATTTTTCAAACACATTATTTTTGAGTGAGGACTGAGTGCATTCAGTTCAGTTGTGTGTTCTTGATGGCAATAGAAAGGACACACATCTGAATTCCTGCCGAGGACAATGGTTCTTTAGACAAGACTGTGTGACTGGGATGATGCATTATAGGTGTAAAAAGGTGAGACAAAACAACTCAATGCAGACTTGTTCACTGAGAAATTATTTCAACCCCACTTTCAACTCAAAGTTTAGAAGAATTCTTTCTCATATGAGCATAAGACTGACACCAATAGAGAATGTCCCAGCAACATGGCCTTCTGGCCACAACCCTGGGCTGTGCACTTTTCTGTGATGCAGGTGCCTTAATATGACAAGAGGGAGCCCAAATGGACCCACTTGGCATTTCTGGTGAAAATATGAGGAGTGTTCCCAGGAACTCCTTCTCCATGGTTTATCATAGATCAGAAAAAAAAAAAAACAGGAACCAATGGAAAATCTATCATCCTGGAAAACAGAACCCCAGATACAGAAGGGCAGAAGGAAAATGGAACCCACCTTGATGCCTTTTTAGGTAGCAGAACAAGCAGAAACAGGCAATGATGAAGAGAAACAATCCTCCCACAGGAAGCAGACTGTAGAGGAGCCACAGCTTGTCTGCCACCTCTTCCTTTGAGGGTGGTCCTGAGGCAGTTGATGCATCTGGAATGTTAGTCAGTGCTAAAGACAGTTAGGAAGTCAAAGCTATATTAGGTTCAGCAACATACCTCTGCATCATCAGATGCTTCTATTCCTCCTCTGGAGGTCTCTCCTAAAAAAACAGGCCTCAGTACTTGGCTTAATCTTTTGCAATTTTTTTTTTATTCTGCTAGGGTTAATCTTCTGTAGAACAATCTTCATAACAGCTCTCAGTATTTCACCAAGCCCTTCCCTTTACAGTATCAAAGTTTCCATTCATATGCACTATTTAAGGAAATTAGAGAAGGCTTTAGCTTTATTCAATTCTGTGACTTGAGTATAATAATAATAATTCCAGGAGTTACCCCAAAATAAGACAGCCAGTGAACCAACATGTTTCAGATACTAAATTCACTTCCCTTCAACACAGTGCCTTTTCCTTGTCTCATAACTCATTGTTRTCTCCAAATACCCAGTACTTTTGGTTTCCTCAAATATGCATTGCATGGCATATAGCTGATGCTCATTATTATTTATAGGTCTTAACAAACATTGAGGCCACTTGTCCAGGGTAGTTTGAAACTTGTTAGCCKATTATAAAACAATTTAGTAGATCACAAATATCATTTCTGGAAAATGAAGCAGAGCACAACAGAATACATTGGAATGGATCTCACACAGTAGTGATTCTCAAGCAGGACAATTTCTCCCTCAGGACACAAGTGACAATGTCTGGAAATGTTTCTGGTTGTAACAAAGTTGGAGTGGGACTGGCATATAGTGAGCACAGGCTAAACACCCTATATTACACAAGACACCTCTTCACCATACTGAGGGTGGACATATAGTGGGCCTATAGTTCTATAGTTTGGTAATTCAGAAGAGTGGAAACAAATGTAGCACTGTTCCTGCTGCAGCTGCTGTTGAATTGGGCAGGCAGCCAAGTCATTGCAGGAGTGGGAGACGGCTGTCTGGGGGAGAGGTTTGGATAACAAACAACAGATAATCTAATACAAACAAATCCACTAGACTAAGAAGGCCCAACTTCAATTATTTTTCCACCCATCACACAAACTTGTTAATTTTATTTGATTAGTTTGATACTTACTTATTTGAGGTTGTTCTGAATTATTTCTGGTCTGTTCTGAAATACAGAAATAGGATGAAGAATTGAAATTGAGAAAACAATGAGTATATTCTCAGGGATGTCTAAAATCAAAGCTAACTTTGGAGAAGACTCTGGTAATTGCATASTAACAGAGAATTCAATGATCCACCTCAAGTCCAATTTGCATGATTCATGTATCATAACTATAAATCATGAAATAAAGTAAATTCCTAAGTTAGTTTCAGATTCAAAGAAAAACTCCACAAATAAAAGGTAACCCTCATCTGTCTGCTTTGATTCCCTCTTCCACATTCCTTAGGTATATGGATACAGAACAGCCCATGTAGCACCTCTAGAACCTGCAATAACAAGACACACCAGCAAGTGCTCCAAGTTGAGTATGGAAGGCCATAGGAAAGGATGCTTTTGGGAGACATTCTGGGTGCTCATTCTGAAACAAAGACTGTGCCTTTCACTCTCTTCCCTCTCACTCCACACCACTTTCTTTCTCAGATAATAATCACCCTGCATTTGTGAAGTTTCTCATCAGGACTGACCAGGGACAGTCTGAGGAGAACAGACTTCCAGRCCAAGGTATGTTCCCCTAACTGTTTCCCAGCTCAATCAACTTTCCTCTTGGGACTTTGCTTTGCTTTACAAAGTTGCTTTTCTTCATTTTGGGAGAATACTGCTTTCCCAAGAGAATCAAATTCCCCACTTTGTCACATGCCTGTTCTTACATGAACCCACTCTGAACATAAACAGCAAAGGAGAGTCAGACACAAAAACAAGAAAATGCCCAATAACCCTTCAGAAAGATATTTCAAGGGGGAACAATTAAATAGTTTTGTCATACCTCCAAAATGTATTTATTAAAGCATGGTTCTTAAATATAACTCTAGGGCACATTTTCCCCTCACTTCATATTTACTTTATTGAGTCCTCTCATTTTCAAAAGGAAAACAATTTTCTTAACCCTTTCCCTATTACCTTTGTTTTCACCATTTCATTAAAGTAGAATTCACACTCAGTTTAAATTAAAATAATTTCAAAATAATTTATTTGACTTTTGTGAAGGAATCAGATAACCCAAAGAAATATGACACAATTTCTACCTTCCAGGACATTATACTCTCTCATGGAACTTGAGAGCATTTCCATACATTACTATTGTGAAAGAAAATATGTAAAAAAAAAAAATGAGAGACACAGAGGCTTAAATTGCATAAGAATTGGTAGAAAAGAGATATTGCATCCCCTAAAGCAATCGTGGAAGGCTTCCTTGAAAACTTAGGTAATCCTGAGCTGGAATTGAATGGCGGGCTGAAGCTTTGATAGGTAAAGATAGGTGAATGAATGCCCTGTGAGCAGTGACAATGGCATAAGAGGGTTCATGGTAAGTGTAGAGCCATGGCAAGTGGGGCAGCTGGGCTGAGTGGAGAGGTTCTACGTGGAATCCAGAAACAATCCACAAAGGTAGGGATGAGCTGAGGAAGACCTTGAGTGACGGTGAACAAACATAAGCCCAATTCTTCGAGCACTGAGGATGCTCTCCAGGGGACAAGAAATGTATCAGGCATATTAAGTATTTTAGGGAGATTTTGGGCCAAAATGACCAAAATGGGAAACACTAAGGACAAGAAGTCCAATAGTACCATTAATTGGAGTCATTTAGAAGGAAAATAATGAAAGTCTGAGATGCTCTTAGAAGCTGTAAAGAGAACACATCACAGAGCAGAAGACTCTCTTGACAAACAGGAGCAGAAGGCCAAAGCCAAGTGGTGGGGAATACCCAGTGTGGACCAGAAGCYTTGATTGACCAAGTGAAATGAAAGAGAGCAATAAGGAAGGGAGGAGCAGGGAAGAGACAAACCTGGGAGGGTAGAAATCTTCCAAAAGAAACCATCCCCTTCCTGTCTTCAATTTAAYTCTTTGGGTCTCCAGGGCCTCACCTCCACACTTTTTTTTTTTTCAGTATAAAACTAATAAAACCCCTCGGGGCACAGAGTTTAACAGGAAATGCTTTGGGGTCTGACTTCTTTTCCTTAGCAGAACGTTTCTGAGGTTTATCCAGGTTGCATCATGTATCGGTACTCATTCCTTTTTAGAGATCAATAATATCCATTTGTATAGATATGCCACATTTCCATTCATCGGGTGGTGAGCATTTAGGTTGTTTCCACCTCCGGTATTGTGAATAGCTGCTTATAAACATTCATGTGAAAGTTTTTTTGTGACATATATTTAATTCCACTTGGGTATTTACCTAGCCACACAATTGCTTGGTCATGTGGTAACTACGTTATCTTTCTGAAGAACTGCTAGACTGTTTTCCAAATTAGCTGTGCCAATTTATATTACCACCACAAGCAACGTAAAAGTGTTTCCACTTCTCCACACCCCTGCGCCAACATTTTTTTTTTAATTCTTGTCATTCTAGTGGGTATGCCATGGTATCTCACGCTGGTTTTGATTTGCATGTTCCTAAAGATTAAATGATATTGAGCTTTTTCTCACATGCTTATTGGCCATTTTGTATACAAAGTTCTTTGATAACATGTCTACTCAAGTCCTTGCTTATCTGTTTATAGTTGGCTTGTAGTAGTTCTTACACACTCTAGGCAAACATCTCCTACCAGACATATAATTTACAAATATTTTCTCATATTCTGTGGTTTGAATTTTTACTCTTTTGAAAGTGTCCTTAGATGCAGAAAAGTTTTCAGGTTTTATGAAGCCAAACTTATCTAATTTTTTTGTTTACTTTTTTTTGTAATTTTATCTAGAAAACTATTACCACATCCAAGATCAGGAAGGTTTACAGTTTTATATACATATTTATAGTTTTATATAAATTTAGTTTTCATAATTTTAGCTCTYATATTTAAATATCTGATCCATTTTTAAATTTTGTGTGAGGTAAAGGGTTTTAATTTATTCTTTTGCTTTTGTGTATTCAATTGTCCCAACCAAATCATTCATTTGTGTTTTTTTATTGGGTGGTGTTCAGTGTTGGGGATCAAACCTRGGGCTTCTTGCATGCTAGGGACAAATATCTTAAGGGTTTCTCCTATGTTCTCTTCTAGTAGTTCTTAAGATTCAGGACTTAGATTAAGGTCTTTGACTCATTTTGAGCTGATTTCTGTACAGGGTGAGATAGGAGTTAAGTTTCAATTTTCTACATGTGAATATCCAGTTTTCCCAGCACCATCTGGTAAAGAGGCTGTCCTTCCTGTAATGTATTTTTTTGGCACCTTTAAAATTAGTTGACTGGGCTGGATGCAGTGACTGTAATCTCAATGGCTAGGGAAGCTGAAGCAGGAGGATCTCAAGTTCAAAGCCAGCCTCAGCAAAAATGAGGTACTAAGCAACTCAGTGAGACCCTGACTCTAAACAAAACACAAAACAGGACTGGGGATGTGGCTCAGTGGCTACTGCCCCTGAGTTCAATCCCTGGTACCAATAAAATAAAATAAAATAAAATCAGTTGGCTGAAGATGTGTTTGGGTCCTCTGTTCTGCTCCACTGATCTTTATGCCTGTTTGGTCAGTAGCATGCTGTCTTTGTTACTGTGTCTCTGTGGTATGTCTTGAGATCAGGTATGTGATGCCTCCTGCTTTGCTACTTTTCAAGATTGTTTTGCCTATTCCAGATCTATCACAATTTCCTATGAAAATCTGATCCTCAAAATTCATAGGAAAAAACAGTTGTTGGGATTTTGAACGGGATTACATTGACTCTCTAGACCATCTTGGGGAATATTATCATTTTTACAACAGTGATTCCTCTAAACCATGATGTTGGGAGGTGTTTACACTTATTTACATCTTAAATTTATTTTAGTCAGACTTTTTTGCTCAGTTTGCAAGACTTGTACCTCCTTGGTTAAATTTATTTCTAAGTGTTTTACTTTTTGATGTTATTATAAATGAAATTTTTCCCCTTAATTTCCTTTTCAGATTATTCTTTACTAGTGTTATAGAAATACCACTGATTTTTATATGTTCATCCTGTATCCTATAAATTTGCTAAATTTGAGTGTTAATCTTAATACTTTTTTATGAATTTTATAGCATTTATCTGTATAAAAGGTCATGCTGTCTTTGAACAGACTGTTTTACTTCTTCCATTCAAATTTAGATGTCTTTTATTTTTCGTTCTTGCTAAATTGTTCTGGCTCGAACTCCCAGATCAGTGTTGAATGGAAATGGCAGAAGCAGGCATCCTTGTTTTGTTCCTGATCTTAGGGGACAAGAATTCCATCTCCCACCACTGGATAAGCTGTTTGCTGTGGGATTTTCACAAATCAAAAATAATTTTACTCTCCTTTCCTCCTCCCTATATATATATATATTTTTTCCCTCTGCTTTGTTCAGTTGGGTTTTCCACAGCTTGATCTTCACCTGTTCTCCCTCAGCTGTTACAGCTAATTAAAGACCTCTGGGGAGGAAGGGGGGAGTCAGCTGAAGCCCTGCACAGTTCCCAAAACTCATCAGAGTCAAGCTACTTGTGTCGGTTTGCCCTGTGAACATTAATAAGTGTGTATTTATTGGAGCACGACAAATATAACTTGCATTAATTATAATCGACAAAGTCAAAAACAGAAAAATGGAAGAAAAAAAGAAAAGGAAAGCAAGGACAAACAATTAAGAACTATCTGTAATCACTGGTAGTCACCTTGTTATTTTTTTTTTTTCACTGTTTCAATAATCTACTTCTGGACTTACCAAGTAAATGATATAATCCGTAAGTGCAAAAACAAAAACTTTCATTGTACTGTTCTTACTCTTCCCCAACTCACTTCACACGCACACACCCACATACATGCAGACACCCATGCACTCCTGGATCTCACACTCTGTGAGGTGTGGCAGACTTCTGAGGTGATGCAGGTGTTCAGTTTCTAACCTACTCACTTAAGAAAACCCGGATCTTCGGTTGCCTGGAAATATGATGAGAAAAACATTAGATGGTCTGAGGGTTGAGAACTCACCTGTCACATAAAGGATTATTGAATGACTTGGAGAGACAAAAGACGGAAAATACGCAAGACAGCTATATGAGCCATTGTCGCTAGGAAGCACTGGTTCAAAATGTAGAAAAAATACTGAAATATTCTGCCTTTCTTCCCAACTTGTGTGTGGCTGAAGTCTATCTCCAAGTTGCAAACACTGTGTTCCATTGAATTTGCACCAAGTTATATTGGGTCTCTTAGCACAGTATTTGACAGGGCATTCCAATTTAAAGGAACTTCCTGCCGGGGCATGGTATGCTGAATGTCTCTTCACGGAAAGTTGTTCTTTACATGACTCCTCCCCTAAAAGATAAAGACAGAATTAAAATCAAATCTGTTCTTCTCAATCACCATATACATGCCACTTCCACCATTTCTACCAAAAATTTCTCAAGCTTAATTATATAATTTTTCTAGGTAATATATCCAAGGAACTGACCCTCACTACCCCAGTGTCTGGTATATAGTATTCACATAACAAAGATATTTATTTAATATTTTTAATACTGGATTTATAGAAAATCATTTCATCTTCACAACAAAAATCCTATATATTAGTATATATGTTTTACAAATGAGAAGACTGAGGTGGTAAAGAACTTGTCTATAGTAACATGCTAAAAATTCAGAGAATTAAGATTTAAAGTCATACTGTAGTTTCTTGTTCTAGAACCCATTAGCCATTAGTCTATATTACTTCTTGAGCAACTCTTAATCCATTAAATGAAGAAGAATTTTTTAAAAGTTTTTTTTATAGTTGTAGATGGACAGACTGCCTTTATTACATTTGTTTATTTTATATTTTTTTATGTAGTGATTAGGATTGAACCCAGAGCCTCACTCATGCTAGGCAAGTGCTCTGCCACTGAGCTACAGCTCCAGCCCCAAGAAGAAGAATTTTTGTAAACAATCATATGCCTAGAATACCTGAAATTAGGAATTTTATTTCTTAGTTTTTCAATGGCCTTAATGCTGCCTTGCAAGTTTTTCCACGTTTTCTTTGTAGAAGACATGCAACTCAAAATAATCATCTGAAGACAAGATGTTCCTAGTTACCCAGAACTTTTTATTCTCCAACAGGAGGGAGGAGCAGGGCTCCAACTCTGGGAATCTCTGCATGCTGGCCCAACATACTGCAAACATGCCTCCCTTTGGGGGAAAGAGCTTTTCCCTGAAAATAGGCCTTTCTATGTAATCTTTGAATCTCCAGCTAGCAATTGTCAAGTGTGTATAAAATCTGCAGCCAGAAACATTTTTAAAGTGTTCTATGTTGTTGAATAAGTTATCATTAACTTACCATAAATATATTTACCCTGTAACCTCTATATTCAAAATAATACCTGAGAACCAAGTTATATGAGAAAGAAATCTTTTCTAAGCAGACAAAATAGATATCTCTAGATCTAAAATTTAGCTCATTTTATACCTAATTCTTCCAATTCCATTTTCACTTCAGAGGACAAAACATGCTATATGATACAGACTAATATGTTCATAATGACAAGACTTAATCAATARTAGAATTTTAACTATTAATTCTCAGAGTCCCATGCATAAGGGGCGTAAGATAATTAAAAAAACTTTTACATCATTTACATCATGTAACTGATATATGTATGATATGTGTATAAAATCACTGAATATTTTATTATGGTTCTAACTTCCTGATGTGGTRAAACAAAATAAAATAGGCAAAGTTTCTGTCTAGTTAAGCATTTTATATCTTTTTATTTTTCTAGTAAAGATAAGGCTAAACACATGGTCTTAAAAGTATTTAAAATACTTTTTCCTCCAATCTTCTAGTTCTTTATTAGCCTATTCTTTTATGTTTTGAACTACTCTCTCAGCACTGTGTCTAATCCATCTCCATTAATCTCTTTAACACATCTTCAAGTATTCTTCTGAATAGATTCACCRAATCATGGGTTATAATCACATAAGCATACCTGAGATTACAGCTAAAAGCCTTCTTTAAAGACCAGGAGGGCTAAAGACTCCACCACAGGGGAGACCAGACGTTGAGCTAGCCAGCAGCTTTGGGCCCCAAGTTCCACAAGCCTCTCTACATAGGACAATGTTCTGCTTTTATTTCTATACCCTTAYAGAATGAATGTTCTCATTTTTAGCTATTTCCTAACACCTAATAAAACTTTCACTCTAATTCCTGGTCATATCTCATCAATTCCAGCTCACTAAAATTGAAATTTGATTAAGTTTTCAGAAATTGTGATTGAGACAGAGAACCTTTAGAGAAACTTAAGAACCCGATTTACTATTTATAACTATGTTGAGAGCGAGTTCACTTTAATACTTGTTAAGTCAGTGGCTTTCAAAAATTCAGAATAAAAATGAAAGCAAACAAAAAAGGTAAGTCATAAAAATGAGATTTTCAAAAATTGAAGAGAAAGAGTAAAATAACTTACCAAAAGGAAGTGCCTAAATGTGGTTATAGTTATGACCAAAAAGCAAGGAGATCAGGGGCAGAAAGACCAAGTGAAACCAGGTGTCTGTTCCTCTCCCTAACGTTAATGGACTATCATAGCTTCTTAACTTCCCCTTTTCATTCTCTTGGGTAAATTAATAACAGTTTATGGAGCCTATAACTTTGTACCAGAATTGCAAAAATCCAGATGGTTACAAAGACATTTTGTTTTCAGAAGTTTACTGTTTAATTAGACAATATTACCTAATGACAAGTCCACGTTTCTAGAATATACTTATTATCTACTACTCTTTTTTCTTAAAGTTTACTTGAGCTGAAATCAAGGTTTAGAGGAACCTAGTATGTTAATTTTGGGGGGTGGGTAYAGAAATAAGACGTGATGCCTGCATTTTGGAATTTGGCTTCTAATGGGAAATAAAGATGCAGGATGAGTGGGAGAATAGCACTGTGAAAAAGTACAGACCACTTTGCGTGGCTATGCACAGGTGTGACCTCAGCTAGGGTTCTTGAGGCAAGTCTTCATGGAACCTGAGAGCTGAACCTCAGTAAATAAACAGCCCTTTGACAATCAGAGCAGAGAYCAGCAAGATATTTCAGGACTGAGACAATGGGGGATTAAAAAAAAAAGGCTCTTCATCCAGAAATCTTATGGTTCATTCAAGGAACTGACATACAACTGGCTTGCAGTTTTCTGAAAGTGACATGGATTCCACTGGTTAGTTCAGAATAAATGGAATAAATATTAAGTAGGGACGTTTAAACTTTGCCTATCTACCATGAGAAAATGCAGTGCCTAATTTGGGGGGAGAGGTATTTATAAAGGGCATGAAAATAGCTGTAAATGAGAATATTCATTGAACACACCTGTTTCAAATGTTAAAACATTGTGTGAACTTGGGATAACTACACAGTTTCAATAACACTCAATTGCTTCACAGTAAGAACAGGATTGAATTACAAAAATAGAAAAGTCACTAACCACCATCACCCCCTAACACAAACACATACAACTTCACCATCACCTCCTAACACAAACACATACAACTTCACGTGTCCCCCAATGTGTGATTGACTGTGAAACCACTTCTAAACTGCAATTTTACCCCTATTGCAACATAGTACCCTTCCATTTATCCAAAGAATTGTCACCTCATGCTAGTAGCACAAGTAAACACATCTTTTGGTCTCAGCATCCTGTGATTCTATGCTCGAGAGTAGTGTACAAAATTGATTAGCAGGTGGAGGTGGAAAAAAAGAGATAGCTGTTAGTCCTAGCTACATCCCTAACTTGCAAAGGGCTTACAGAAACATTATTGAGGTTCCTGCATATTTTTATCAGCAGGATGAGGATCATTGACAATCCCAGTGTGATCTTTGATTCCACAGGCACAGGAATTTTTCTTGAAWGAAAGAATGAGTAGATGATGAATGCTTGGAAACCAGGCATTAAAAATCATCAAGAATATTCCCTCTGTGCATAAAGGAGGTGTTACTCTTCCTGTCTCTCAAAGATTAAACCTGATGCTTCTAGGACAAAAAGAATCCATTGAACCAAATGTAACAATTCTAATTTTTCAGGATATGTGGGTGGCCAGATCTCAAAGGAGGACTGCTCCCTAGCTCTTCCTAGGAAGCTCTCAGGGGATAAAGAATCTCGGATCTGTATCCTGAATTTACCTTAATGGTAAAAAGGTTAAGTGAACATGTTTTTGTTCAAGGTCACCATCAAGAAGTCAAAAGGAAGCTAGGTGCAGTGGTGCACTCCTGTAATCCCAGCAACTGGGAAGCAGGAGGTCAASCTAGGCAAATCAGTGAAGCTCTGTCTCAAAAAAATAAATACTGGGGATGTAGCTTCATGGTAGAGTGCCCTTGGGTTCCATCTCCAGGGGGAAAAAAAGGAAGGAAGGAATGAAGGAAGGAACAAAACTCACAGAATGAGAGAAAATATTTGCAATTATTTATGTGTAAGAGTCTAAGAGTTAGAGTGTATAAAGAACTCTCACAGCTCCATAATAAAAGGTAAATCACCCATTAAAGAAAGAGCAAAGAGTTTGAGTAGATATTTCTCCTAAGGGTATATACAAATGGCCAAATACATATATGAAAAGATGTTCAACCCTGGGCATCATAGTACATGCCTGCAATCTCAATGACTTGGGAGTCTGAGGCAGGAGGAGGATCACAGATTCAAGGCCAGCCTCAGCAAGTTAGCAAGACCCTGTCTCACAACTAAAAGGATTGGAGATGTAGCTCAATAGTAAAGTGGCCTGGGTTCAATCCCAAGTGCCAAAAAAAAGGCTATTTAATATCATTATTTACCAGAGAAGTACAAATGAAAGTCACAATGAGATACCAATTTACACATTTTAGAATAAGTGTAATAATAATAAAACTTCAGAAAACAATAGGTGTTTGTGGGAATATGGAGAAATTTGAATACTTATACACTGCTGAGMAAAATACAAAATGACGMAGTTGGTGTGGAAAACAGTTTGGCAGTTCCTCAAAAAGCTAAGCATTATAGTTATCCTAGGACTCAGCAATTCTATTCTTAGGTATACTCCAATAGGAGTAACAATATGTGCACCTACAGTGTCTTGTATAATAGTGTTAATTGTAACTATATTCATAATAGTAAAAAAAGTAGGAATAACCTGAATGTCCATCAACTGATAAATGTATAAACAAAAGTGATATTTCCAAACAATGGAATATTAYCCATCCATAAAAAGAAATGAAATATTTATTCATACTACAATATAGATGAACCTTGAAAATATTATGTTAAGTGAAATAAGCCAGATACAAAAGATCACATGTTGTATGATCCTATTTCTATTAAATACTCCAGACAGACAAT